GGTCCAGAACTCAGGGAACTTGTGGAAAATAACGCTGCCCAGGAATATTTTTTTGTTATTTTTTTTTCCAAATATGTTGGTGAAATACACTTGGTGAAATGTCTTGTAAGTTAAGTAGTGCTGCCATTGGGGTCACATTGGGCCTTGTTTTGAGGAGCACTGGGCACTCACTGTCTCTCGTGCTCCAATATTTGCTCACAATTAAAAGTCTGAGTAACCCAATGATGGATATATATATTTTAGAAACATTTGTGGTCATGAAAAACCTTTTGTTCACATCAGCTGAGTTCAAAATGTTAGTAAGAGGACAGTATATATATGAAAAAAATCCAGTCTGATTGCTTTTCTTTTAAGTAGCATGTCACAATTATGCCATGTATCCAATTAATATTTAATCTGTGACAAGTCTTACAACTGTTGCAGGATAATTATTACAGAACAGTTAATCAGAGTATCTTCCTTTCTTCTATGGTGTTTATTGATGTGTATTTTAATAGAAACAGTATATACATAAAACAGTTTACAAAACACACACGTTATGTATTGGGCACAGTTGAACCCAGTTGCATGCTCTATTTTGACATAGAATCATAGAAATAGGGGAACAGTAATAAAGATTGTGCTATCATTCTCCAAAATTCTGTAGTTGTGAAATTGAATGATGCAAGGAAATGGCCTCATCCCTCCATCACCACTCTGCTATCTGTGGAGGACCAAGTTTTGACACGGCTCCACACCGGTGTGAAGCCGAAGCGAGACGGATCTGCTGCGACTTGCAAAGGCATTGGCGGACGGTCGGGTTCCCCTTCACCGTGACAGAATCAGGGATGGGGATGGATGTGTCACTCCCCCAAAATTGTATTTAAACATGCTGGTGGTTTACCCAAAGCACACAAACTAACAAAAAAATAGCGTAGCATGTTCTGGTAGAATGGTGTGAGAACCTTGATGACGAGTCTTCAGATTTGAGGGGAGCTTTGAGGTTACCTGAGGGACCCTGAGCGTGAACAGCATTAAAACAGGCCCGGGGATGGGGAGGTGATCAGCCCCGCAATCA